ATGGTTATGAGAAGTTTACGTTCACGTGTCAATCCTATTTATCTTCCAGTTATGAGAAGTTCACGTTCACGTGTCAATCCTATTTATCTTCCATTTTTCTCTTGCTATGTTTTTTTTTTATATTTTGGTTATTACTCGATATAAATATTTATTTTGAATTTTATTCTCATTTCGTTTGTTTGTTTTGACCTGAAATTTATAAAATATTTAAGTTTTAAAATAATTAAACAGATAAATACTTAGGTTAAGATCTGCACTTTATGCACAATAAGTATTTTATATTTATTATTTCTTTTATATTTTTCTGCATATTATAAATAATAAAATAATATATATATATATATATATATATATATTAAATAACTAAGAAATCAATTACTATTATGTAACAAATTGGCGTATGCATATAAATTTAACTATTACTCTTGTTTATTCGCAATTAGGGTAAATAAATAAAAATAATCAATCTTATATATTGTATATGATATATAATTAAATTTAAATGATATAAACATAGTAATATAGCACACTTTTAATTTGGATATTTATTAAATGAGGTTTCTACTCATATGATTTTATGATTATTTGCATATTTGTGTAACAAAACTTTACACCAATGATTTATAAATTACGTTATAATTATTTGAATTTAAGTATTTTCCATTTTACATATACACTTCCATAAATTAAAAGGAATGAAGTTATTATAGTTAATATATGCAAATCGTTATCAAATCGTATATTTTCCTTTTCTTCCATTACATGTGTGCAATATATATAAATATATAAACTATGTTACATGCGTTATATGCGTCTCTGATTATTTTTTCCTAGCAAATCTCTATAATATTATTTGAGAAGTCACTTTCTTAGGTGTCGCGCTCACGTTAACTCTCACACTGGTTGATTACTATGATACCCCTAATGAATTAAAAATACAATTAAATATTATTTCCTTTTCAGAAATTTCCAAATAATAATATAAAATAAAAAGCAAACATTTATAAAATTTACATAACTATTTAAAAACGAAAATATAAGTATATATAATATGGTTTAATAAAAAAAGAAAGTTCACAAAATAGTAATATTTAATTTAAATGTATCTCTATAATATTATTTGAGAAGTCAGTTTTCCACGTGTCGCGCTCACGTTAACTCTCACGATGGTTAATTACATAGATACTCTTAATAAACAAAAATATTAAATAAGATTGATATTAATAATGTATTTCCTTTTCTCATAATAAGATTTTACTTAATTTTTTAATTTATGTTTACTTTTTAAACACACATATACAAAAAAAGAAATATTTTTGAAATAAAAATGTTTATATATAAACGAAATTAAATATTTTTTCGACATTTTCATAAAACAACATTTTTAGTGTTTATTTAAGAGATATTAAAAATAAAATATTTTTTAACACATAAATATTCTGATCAAATAATTTCAAATTTTTTTAAATAGCGTAGCACTATACACTATTAATGAAATGAAAATATAATATTTTATCATTATTAAAAATTCTTTTTAATATATAGTTTGCTTTTAAATTTTATGTTTTTATGTTTATGGAACTTAATAGATAAATAATCAAAATACTCAAGTAAATCTAAGTTCTAATTTTTAAGATTGTTTAAAAAATTTCAATTTACCTTTAAAGAAATCTAAGGTATAAAATAATTTAGAATTTATAAATATTTAATTTTTGTAAATATTAATATGTTCTCATGAAATTTCAAATGTTTATCTTTATACTCATATTTATGATTGTAAATTATTATTGATCGTCACTTTATTTTTAATATATCTTAAAAATCAACATATGTCCAATTATTAAAAATCTTATAAAATACTTGCATTAAGCGATAAATAAAACTAATTTGATTTGATTTAATTAGAAAAATATATCTAACTCAATATACTCACAAAACGAGTAATGGAACGAATCTAACTTATATCAAAAATAAAAGATCTAACTACAACAAAAACATATAATTTTAAAATAATTATTTATTTATTTTTATACATATAGATTAAAGGATGACTCAAAAATATCAATATAGAAAAAAAAATATTAACCAACTTTTATAATTCAGTTTTTTTGTAAAATTTATATATATATGAATGAGACTTCAGAATATTATCGTTATATTCATTTATATAATTTTGTGTCAAAATTTCAGTTTATTTTAAATTTCATTATAAGCATAATATATATTAAGTTATACATAATCTTATTAAAATATATTTACATATATAAGACGATAGCCAATCTAAATACAATAATAATTAAAGTTTTAGCATATTTAGAAGGAAAATATTATAGTTGAATTCAGAAAAATAGATGCAATCTAAAATACACAAGTGTAACCAAATCGAATATTGACCAAAAAAAGCAACCTAACCGATTAAATATAACATCTACTAAATCATATGTCTAATTAAAATAATCTAATACTATTAATATAAGTTATACATATAAATTATAAATTAATTTATAATTAAAAGTAAATATCTATGTAAATTAATAAATTAGAATATATTACAATATATTTACTTGATAAATATTCATACCCGTGCATGAGCACGGGAAAATCACCTAGTTTCAATTGAACCTAAAGCCGCCACGTCAGTTTAATTGATATGCTAATTGATTGACAACTAAGCAAGATTACTTTTTAATTAATACAAACTTGAGGTTACATCTTTTCAAATGTTTCTCAATTAATATATAGGGGATAACTAGTACCTGGGCCACGAATTTACAAAGGCCTGACTAAAATTAGTATAGGCCCATTATATGTACGGGCCCATAAGTTTCCACGACTTGGAAGCCTCGCTTGAACCACCGGCCGGGGACTATTATCCGAGACTGAGAGAGAGAGGAGAGACATGGCGGCGAAATCGATGGCGACGCTTGATTCTGGCACCACCTGTTCCTCCTGGAACAACTCTGGTCACCGTTTTGCTGCCGGATCAATAGACGGAACCCTCTCCGTTTACGACTCTCCTGTTCCCTCGTCTTCTTCTTCTTTCAATCGCACTTCCAAAGTTAGGGTTAGTGAATCGAGTCTTGTAAAGATCCTCTGGCTTCCCTCTGAATACGGCGATGCAGTTGCTTGCATTTGCGAAGACGGCAGCTTGTCTATCTGGGAGGAAGTCTCTGAAGGTATCTTTTGTGAAACTCTCCATAGATTATTTGCTAAGTTGTTTGGTTGAGAACTTAAAGTCTGTACTTTGTTTTTTCAGACACACATGTTCTTGAGTGGAAACTGTGTAAGAGTTTAATGAACAAGTCTACCCAAGTGCTTGATGTTCAATTTGGGGTCTCCAGAAAGAGTCTAAAGATGGTATTTTTCTTTTGGTTTTTCCATCTTTAACAATCTTTTCTGCTTCAATTAAACATTTATGATCTTATTTGCAGGTTGCAGCTTATTCAGATGGGTACCTTAGGGTTTTTGAGCTGTCAAATCCATTGGAATTAAAGAACTGGCAACTTCAGGTTGCTTTTACTTATACTAAGTTTTGTATCATTTGCAGAAGGATACATGTAAGTTGGAGTGGTCTCTAATCGATTTCTTGTCAACATTCTGTTTGCAGGCTGAGTTTCAGAATGTTATCGATTCTCTGTCCACTCTTGGTAAACCATCGACCCTGTCTGCATCTGTTTCTTGGAATTCAATCAGGAGTGGAGAGCAAGAACCCAGCTGCTTTGTTTTAGCTTTCAACTCTGATTCTCCTCATCTTAATTCTTCCAAGGTAAGACATTACTTCACTTTCTTTGAACTGGCGAAACGAATGAATCCTGAGAGACTTGTTGTTGTTGTAGATCTGGGAGTTTGATGAAGCTCATAACAGATGGTTGGCTGTGGCTGAATTAGCCTCACCAGAAGACAAAGGTGATCCAGTTTATGCTGTCTCATGGGCCCCTAATATTGGCCGGTAATCTCAAACAGAGTCTTACTCCTCTTTCATTAGTACTGTTTTTAAACGCTCAAACTAATCCTCTTTTGATACAGACCGTACGAGGTTGTTGCTGTTACAACTCATAAAGGCATAGGAATATGGCAAGTTGGTCTAGCTCCTGACCTTGATGGAAGGCTTCCTGTAAAGAAGGCTGCATCGCTTTCTGGTCATCAAGGCGAGGTATCCGATTTTCTGATTCGGTGTTTTGTTGGGTTTTGAGAATGAAACTTTAGGTTCTAATCTAAGCTTTTTTTTTTATCTTGGATACCACTTTTGTTTTCCTTCCATCCGTGTAAAACATAATTTAATATCACTGCTTTGATGTTTCATGTTCAGGTTTGGGAGATGGAATGGGACATGAGTGGCATGACTTTAGCTAGCACTGGAAGCGATGGGATGGTCAGACTGTGGCAGTCGAACTTAAATGGTGAGTGGCACGAACAGGCCATGCTCGAACCTGTTCCCTCCTGAAGATTCTGGACTCGCTTATTGAGAGTTTAGTTCGATGATTCATATCTTTCAATGTGAGTGAAGGGTCTAAGCTTTCTATTTGTATAACACAAATCATATCTTACAATGGTTTGATTATATTTCGGTTTTGACGTACAATTTAGGCCAAGATAGACGATTGAACCATCTTTTGACAAAAGTGAAAAAGTCAAGTTATCCTTAAACCGAAATAAAACTAGTTTTTGAAATTAAAATCAAATTTTGGAACAAAAAAAAAAAGAAACTAAAATCAAATTAAACCGATACCAAACGGCTTCAAATTAGAATTGAATTAAATCGAAACATGAATAAAAACCAATAATTTGGATCTACTATGCTTTCATGTTCATTCTGGTGTCTGTTATCAATCGGCTTTACATCTCTATCGAATTTATGTGTGTTCCATGAGATCTAAGTAACCTCTTCCTTTCTTTGTTTATGTCTAGTTAGGTTTCTTTTTTGTTGGTTCTACCTTTGGCTCCGAGAGGTGTTGTTTACCTTGATGTTTACCTCGCCGGTTTATGACTCCAAAGATTTCAAACCTTTGTTGGTTTTGTGTAAAACTTTGATCAAGTTATTATCAATCTACTAGATAGAAAAAAAAATTGAACAAAAACCAAACAACAAGTCTAACCAAAGCAAATTTCAAATTAAAGTTTAGAATCAAAACCGGTTATGGAATTTAAATTTGGTTAAGCTAATGAGTTTCGGATTAATCAAATTAAATCGGTTTTAATCCTTCAATCAGTCCTATCCCTAACTTAACCCGGAGATCATACCCTAATCCTCTATATATTAAAAGAGAAACATTTAAAAAATTGTAACCTCAATTTTGTAATAATTAAAAAACCTCCATGTTTAGGTTTCACTCAATTAGGTAGTCAATTACATTCAATTGAAAAATAAGTAGATTCACATTCAATTTTTATATGTCGCTAGATACATTCGTTGGTCAAACTATATAATATGATGATATGATATGATATTTACAATAGAAGCATTTATGATTGTTCCACTAGATATAATTACTATTTTATTTTATTTCCTTAAATAACACCTATGGAATTACCATAAATGAAGAATATATATATGACAATTAATGATTCTAATAATAAATATTTGATAACAATTTTTATCTCCTCCATCATTTTTTCTTTAATTTTATATTATTAAAATAAATTAAAAATCAAATTAGCTATAAAATTAAACTTTCTATTATTTCGTATGCATTATAATTTGAATTTAGAAAAACGAGAATAAATGACTAAAACTATTAAAATTATTATGTTAAAAATTAATGCTCAATAGCTTAACATTTTTATTATAAAAATACACACATGATTTTAAAACCATATGAGTAAAAAGTATCATTCAATAATAAAACATATATATATATATATATAGAACCATATGAGTAAAAAGTATCATTCAATAAGATTACATAAATATTTTAGTTTCAAAAATTTCAATGAATGTTCAAGAACATTTATAAATGATAAAATTATAAAAAAATTCACACTGAAATTTTTTGTTATCAATGTTTTAAATATCTTAGTTCTTTTTTTAATTTTGTATTACTAAAAGATATTAAATAATCAATAATATGTTTTTTTGCTATATACCATACAAACCGAATGGATGTGATTTTATAAAAACCGTAGGATCTAGATATGGTTTGATTTATAACCGATTAAACTGAAACATGTAAATATGTATATATTTATAACGACGCATGAATATCTATTTGTTACATGAGTTGAATTATAATTATAATTTGTAAATCACTTGAATCATTTGAACTATAATTAACTAACAATTTACTGCAACTAAGGCTTCTTATTTTCTTAGTCTTTTTTTATCTTTTTGCTTTATTTTAACAATAACTAAATTGAATTAAAGATTATAAATTTGATGGACAACAATTAGTTGAAATTCCTTACAACTTTTTATTTTATCGTTAACCACACATAGTTGTGTTCAATCGAAGACATATTAATTTGATGAATACTAAATATGGAAGAATATAAAAACTTTTCTTTCATGCTTCTGTTTTGTTTTTTATTTTAAAAATTTAGAACTTTGATATTAATTCTAAATTTGACCATTTTATTAGATGACAAAAGCCTTTTTGTTTTTTATTCTTTTATTTAAACATATAATATTTTTGACAATATGACTCTAAATATGATCATATTATATATTTGTATAATATATAATATGATCTCAAACTAAATAATAACGTTTTTTGGTATAAAACTGAATAAACTAAAAACCGATGGTATATAAACCAAATCGAACCGAAATAAATATGGATTTAGAATAGCAGTTATATTTTAATAACCGAAATACCAAAAAACGAACCGAAACCCAATATCCGGATTGAACACCCATAATCCAAATGAAACCGAATATTGTTTCATTTTCCAAAACATAACAAAAAAATAGTAACAAAACGTGGATCTTATCCTAATATTCTCATTAATTCATCTAAACCTATCATGAATCTCCTCAAGGAACTCCATATTACATTTGCATATTTCATTAAAGCATGCTACTTTTCTAAGATATATAACATGCATGGAATGATCTATGACGCCCTATAGAAAATGAGCCATAATCAAAGATCTTGAGAAACCTAAAAGACTGGATCTCACACCAAAAATGCTTTAAGGAAAATTTTAATAAAGACTTAAGAAGGAAATCTCTTTTGAAATTGTGAAATGGGTCCGATCAATACAGTCAGATCATGTATTTTATTTTGCCTTCCTAGTCCTAAGCAGGCACTGCTCAGGGATTGCATGCAAAGTCGTTGTGTTAATGTGGTGTGACGGGTGTCAACAAGATAAATGATGGATGTTCCCTACTTTTGACTTGGCAAATAGTTTAAATTGCAACCTCCTAGCCCTTTGGTTCAGACTATTACTGAGAATCGGCATGATAGGATAAGTTGCCCCTTTGCATGTTTCATAGCTTCACGTAATAAGAAACAAGTTTGGGTTGTCATCGGATTACTGAAGTTCAATTATTCAAAACAATACTAGAGTCTAGATTTAAAAGGAAGTAAATTAATATATAAGCTAAATCTATCTATAAAAAGCAGACAAACAAAATATCTGCCATTACTAGTATCAATATATTCTTATACACGTAGCAGATCGCAATGAGATCAATATGAACAAAAGAATCAGAATCTTGGACAACTAAAACTGAGAATCAGTTCTGAAAAAAAAAAGATATCCATATTAGGTAAAAAGAAAATGCCATTGGAATTGATTCACTTTAGATAAGTTTAAACTAAGAATAAGTTCAAGATAAAGACAAGCACTATATCATATAGAGTTTATTCGAATTCAGTAGAACTTAGATAATTGTCATCGTATATATAGACATCTAAGGTTCATTCCAAAATCCACACACAACACAAATACAAACCATAAAACTCGCTTCTTCTTTACCACAATGCAGTACTACGAAACACGTGAAAAAGAATACTACGATGTGGCTCAAGGCCAGAGTCGCCAGGGTTATGGTCAGAACCATCACCAGGGATATGGGCAGAGCCACAGCCGCCCAGTATATGGGCATAGCCCGACTCTGAACCACCGTAGCCACGGTGGGTTTCTTGATGGGTTGTTCAAGAGTCAAAAAGGCCAAAAGGGTAAGAACGGCTTAGGGACGTTTCTAGGGCACAAGAGCCAAGAGGCTAACAAGGGCCATGGACATGGGAAGCTTTTAGGACAGCACCAGGACAAAACTCATGAGACAAACAAAGGTACTAATGGCATAGGAGCGTTCATTAACAATGGAGAGAAGAAACATAAGAAGCAAAATGAGCACAAGAAGAAGAAGAACAAGGATGGGCATGGCAGTGGCAATGAGAGTGGAAGCAGCAGTGGTAGCGACAGCGACTAAGTGAAATGATCTCATAAGCCTAATGCTTCTAAGAGAGACTGTATAAAGTAAGTAGATGCTATACTTAGAATAAAGAGAGACTATATAATGCAAGTAGACGTAATACTTAGAATAAAAACCACTTAGGTGGTTGTGTCTCTGAGTCTCTCTGCATGTCTCCCATATATAAGCTTCACTACTATGAATCTACCTTTGTACGTTTGTAACAAAACCAATGAAAAGACTTGTGATATCAATGACTATACCGCTTATCAGTCGGCCAGCTAATAAGTAAGTAACTAATAAGTGATTCATATATGCTTCATAAATTTAACAAGGATAAACATTTTTTTATGGTGGGGTATAATGTTAAGATAAACAGAAATTTTACTCCGAAAAGTAGTTGAATCAGTAAGACCATTTTTAAATCATATCCTCGTTGTCGACATAAAATATTTTGGAGAAATAGTGACAAGATGACGATGTTGGCGTTTTTCGGTCTAGTTTTTGCAAAGATGGTCTAATTAATGTGGGTTGGATGTCAAATTTTATACAAAAAACATCATCACCTTTCTCCATAACACTGTAGAAACGTCATGGTAGACAAGAAAAAAAAAATAGAAGATAGGGTTGACGAATTCTCAGAATCCAAAAAAGATTGAAGAAAAATATGATTGAGGCATCGAGAGATAGATATGAGAATTAGAATTGCGTATATAAAAATATGGAACCAAATCCAGTGTTGTTACGGTGTTCTGGTCCGAAATTGCTTGGTCCACACTGTTAATGAGAAGAAAGAAGTCTTTGACTTATCACATGGAAGGAGAGAATAAAAGGGACCACTTTAAAAGCATTGTGCATGGTAGAGACGGTGACATGTGCTTTTCTACCTTCCCCACCAGTCTTATTTAATTGCGTTCTTCCAAACATTAGGTTTTAACTTCACACCTGTTTTCAGTCTCCAGAAGCTTTTGCTCAACTAAAAATTGTTACATTATAATACTTGTTCAAAGTACAATAAGAAAGTCCTTGGATGATTACAATATAACTTCAAAAAAGGAGCTTTCACAACCTCTCTCAAAAACCACGAGGCTTTAATCTTAATTAAAAACCCTAATATATCCATTACTCAACAGCTTCTGAATGATTTTTTTTTAACAAATATCCGGTTCACCTTATGCCCTAATTCACACACAAAACCCTAATCTTCTCATCATATGTCTTGATCCCCAAGTTATCTTTCTACTTCCGTAGTTTTGTGTGATTTAATTGGCGAGAACTTCCCAAATAAGCTCTGGATCAAACGAAGGCATCCTCGCAAGCAAAAACCCTTCAGTATCCATCATCGTCTCTTCCCCCGCCGCCGCCATTAAAGTCGCCGGAACTTCATCTGAGATAGAAACTGACGCAGGAGAACTATTCTCGCTATTCCACAGACCCATCTGCGAACTCCAGTAGCTATCCTCTGAATTCACCGCAGTGGCAGTTTCCGCCGGAGAAGACAGAGTCTCCGGCGAGGATGAAGAATCTTTACTCGTTTTTCCGCTCTTTTTAGCTCTCTCTCTTCTGACTCTCTGACAAATCGTTTGTATCTTCCCGTCCACTGCGTTTTTGAGAGCAATAAGCTTAGAGGAATCTCCGAGCCCGAGCAGCTCACTGGGGTCCTTGAGATTCGGGAAGTTGAGACGAGCGTATTCTCCACGGAGCTTATAAGCGGCGCGGTCATAAGCATAGGCGGCTGCTTCCGCTGTTTCGTAAGTACCTAACCAAACCCTCATTCTGTTCTGCGGGAGTCTTATCTCCGCAACCCATTTTCCCCAGTGTCTCTGTCTCACTCCTCTGTAAAGCTTCTTCTTTTTCGCTGTCCTCCCTGCCGCTAACGCGGCGGCGAAAGCTGCGGCTGGAGAAGTTTGATGATCGAACAGAGGAGGAGGAGGAAGAGTGGAGATTGCTCTGTTTTGAAGGTGGAAGCTTTCGATAAAATCTCGCTGCTGGAGGTAGACGGAGGAGCCGAGCTGCGGTGGTGGAGGGTTGAGAGTGGCGAGGGATGTTGTGGCGGAGGAAGTGGCGAGAAATGAGAAGACAGAGTCGAGTGTGTTTGGTCCTCCTGCTAATATGATCTGAGAAAGAGATGCTCTGATTTCTGAAATCTTGGGACTGAATTTTGTCTGAAAATTATTATTATTTTCTTCCATTTTTTCAAACTCTAAGAATGAGATTGTTAGAACTAGAAATCTTCCTGGTTTCTTGGAGTATAACAAGAAGAAAAAAGGTAATAGTTGTGTTTGAACAAGAGATCAAAGAAGAAGATAACAATGAAGCTTTGAAATAGAGGATGGTGATGCTGGATTTCTAGGCTCAGACAGAGTTTATTATGAGAGAAAAAAGTAGAATTTATTGGGATTTGGGGTTTTAATTTTTCTTAGAACAGCTTGTACATATTTATAGACTTTATTTAGTAGAGGGAAGGAGCACACACACACACAGAAAAACAGAAAGGTTGCTTTACAGATTTCACATGGAGCTCTTTGACTTTTTAAATTGATATTTTCTTCTTCTTTTTTAAGTTTGCCAAACTATTTTAATCATGATTTGTATAGAATGGCTCTAGATTGAGATAATATAAATACAGTATTTTTAACCACATTGTTATTTTTAATAATCAGTTCATGACAAGTATAAGCACTAGTGCACTAGACTCAAAATATCCACTCCACGGAATACCAAAATCTATTAAAGTTTGAAGTTACATTCACAGACGTGCATACCCTTCAGTTTTTTTTTGTCTTAACTTTGAGAATTTTAGATATTAGGATCTGTTAGATCGGTTGATGGTAAATTAGACAAGTGTTGGATGTATTTCTTAAAGTTTAGGTAGGTGTAGAAATATGTTGGACTACCAAAATTTTGGAACCTTTTATTCCAATTATCTATGAAAAACTTACGTTTATACATACTTTTCCTTGGACCTATATCACGTTAGCATACTTTGACCACGTCCAATACTTTTCTTTGTTCTTTTGTCTAAATTACTCCCAGAATAAGAATAAGCTTAGTTACTTATTAAAAAAAATTTAAAAAATAATATTTCTTTTTATCTTTCATTCGACCCTTTCTCTTCCACTCAAATCCTAGTAATCATTGATTCTCACCGCCTCCATTGTCGAAAGATGAAAATTGGTGAAGATTAACTGGGTTTCAACATTGTTGCTTGTTCTTCTGTGAGGTATAACAAAGCTAAACCTACATCTCCCAATTTACTTTTAAACCCTCTGTTATAGATTGACACGCAGATCCCCTTTTCTCTTTCGTCATAGAACAGCGGAGGCCGCCACATCAAGATCGACTGACAAATGGATGATATGACCTATCTTCTCTATCTCTTTCATTTGATATCTCTTTACCCATGATGAAAGCAATGTTTTTATCATAAAAATCAACTCTTCAATGGTCATGCAGAAACCGGACAAAGTTCTCGTCCAGATCAACACCCCTACCTTTAACCCCACCATCACTGACAGCCCAAGCAACATCATCAATTACGTCATTCTAAGAGCCAATGGAAACTAAGGCGTCAGCCTTCCACAAACCCCTGTTGGAGCTTCACCCAACCACAACTCTCACACCCACAACTCCTACAACCAATCCAATCCTAACCCCACAGCACCCGCCAGAATATCCCCCTTACATCTCTCTCTTGACCACATCTCACCCACAGACAACTCCACAGCCCACAACACATCTGCCCACAACTCGACTGACCACCATTTAGCTAACCATACTATCCACCAACTTTCGTGTCTCCTTGTTAGCCCGACTATCCACATGTTCTTGACTAAAGTTTCTTGATCACGGGAACTGAATATCTATAGTTTTGCTTGTCTATGGAAAAGTCCCACTTTCCTTCGACGCCACAAACCCAGTTACCTGCTATGACCATACAATGGTCGTCCATCGCTTAACCACACGTTGAAACCTAAACACAAGCTAGCAACCGTGAAAAACAAATAAAAAATGGCTTCAGTTGACCGGTGATATACTTACTGTATTACAGAGACAATAAAGCGGTGAAGAATTAATACATACACGCTTTTAGTATCATCGTACTTGTTTTGTTACCAGCCGTTCGATTCGTTTTAAAATATTTTAATCTAATGGTCCGAGCATTGTCCTACTGTTCAATAAACCTATCAATTAATGGAGACAAAAAGAACCAACAAGTGTTTACTTCACTTTTTTAACCAGACCAAAAAGTGACTCTAGTTGGGGAGAAGAACGTTAATGTAATACCACAACATAAAGGAAGGACCAGAAATACACCTCTATTATAAATTACCTTAACATGCTTAAAACCCAAGACAAATAAACCAATATGTAACCAACTCATTATCTATCATACTACTATCTTTTAATACAGAAGCTGTAACATATTATCAGTAAGTATTATTGTTCTATCATTTGATGCCTAACAACACCAAAATATATAAATTTGCATCAATGATAATATGTGTACCTTGATTATGACCTTAGTAGATTTCATCTCCGTTTGTAGTTTATACTGAATGTGAACGTTTAACATTCACACTTGTTGATAAAACATTTATACCTACGAGTGAAATCGTAGTAACTATATTTTGGGTATAAATGACAAAGAAAGTTTGAGCGTACGACTGCTCTAATTTCATGCTTTCATACAAAAAGCCGGTAATGTATACTCCCTCTATTTAAAAGGATGTATATTTTTGATGTTTTTACACATATTTTAATATTAAACTTTAATTACAAATATTTACTTTTATAGTTAACTATTTAAAAATTTAACAATAACACAAATTCAAAAGATAATTAATTTCTTAACTACAGTTTACCATTATTATATATTTAATAAAAATACATAAAAGATAAAAATATTTTTTTTGAAACGAGAGAATATATGACTAGTCAAAAATTGATGTAGCGGATAGATAGGTGAACGGTCGATCTCAGAAATTAGGGTTCTTCGAGACATGTTCTTGGATCGATCAAGAGTTACTTTCGTTAGCTTCTTGAGACCAACTTCCTGAAGAAGATGAATTTAATCGAATCTTGTTCAAGGCAACTTAAAATAGATGAACTGAATCAAATCTATATTAAGGTATAAAGCAAAGCTTCTTTTATTAATAATCAATCAACTGAATACAACTCTAGGCATAAGAAACCTATATATATGAAAACNACTTTCGTTAGCTTCTTGAGACCAACTTCCTGAAGAAGATGAATTTAATCGAATCTTGTTCAAGGCAACTTAAAATAGATGAACTGAATCAAATCTATATTAAGGTATAAAGCAAAGCTTCTTTTATTAATAATCAATCAACTGAATACAACTCTAGGCATAAGAAACCTATATATATGAAAACCATAAAACCCTAAAACAATAAAGATAATTATCAAAATAACTAATTAAATAAATAATAAATATTTAGAAATATCCTAAATATTTATCTACATCATTCTCTTCGGGTTTGAGAAGATTCGTCCTCGAATCTTGATCGTAGTCTTTGGATCCCAAACGTTTTCCAAGAAAAACTCTTCCTCGAATCTTCAATACCATTCTTAGCATAGGAATAGCACAAATCTGCACGAATTTCGCACATCCCAGAATCTCTAGAAATTTTCCAAAAACTTGATTCTGCACGATTTTTGCACGGATCTGATTATATCTTGAATCTTCAAAAATTCGTTTTTGCACAAAGTTTGCACGCATCAAATCTTCATCAATATGATTTCTCCCTAACTTTGCACGCGAATTTTCAAAGGAACCCTCTTTGAAAACAAAGTCAATAGGATGGACATCGTCTTCATATATATCATAGATTGGATCACCATAGGTCTCTTCATAGATCTCATGGTTCTCTTCTCTCTCAACAAAAGGACTTTCGTCCAGGATAGGATATATGCTAATACTCACCATGACATCCAGAATCGCCTTCGATTTAGAAACCAAAGGAACGCAGCTCTGATACCAACTGATGTAGCAGATAGATAGGTGAACGGTCGATCTCAGAAATTAGGGTTCTTCGAGACCTGTTCTTGGATCGATCGATCAAGAGTTACTTTCGTTAGCTTCTTGAGACCAACTTCCTGAAGAAGATGAATTTAATCGAATCTTGTTCAAGGCAACTTAAAATAGATGAACTGAATCAAATCTATATTAAGGTATAAAGCAAAGCTTCTTTTATTAATAATCAATCAACTGAATACAACTCTAGGCATAAGAAACCTATATATATGAAAACNACTTTCGTTAGCTTCTTGAGACCAACTTCCTGAAGAAGATGAATTTAATCGAATCTTGTTCAAGGCAACTTAAAATAGATGAACTGAATCAAATCTATATTAAGGTATAAAGCAAAGCTTCTTTTATTAATAATCAATCAACTGAATACAACTCTAGGCATAAGAAACCTATATATATGAAAACCATAAAACCCTAAAATAATAAAGATAATTATCAAAATAACTAATTAAATAAATAATAAATATTTAGAAATATCCTAAATATTTATCTACATCAAAAATACATCTCAGATTAAATTGATACTATCACTGATAGATGTGAAATGATACTACATCATGTTTTTGAAACGATTAACACTATATTTTCTTCAGAATTGTCATAGACTAACATCTTTTGTGAATTATGTACGATGTTAATACTTTGTTAGTATCGTCGCTGGAATTTGTAATGTCGACACCATTTGACCATTATACTCATATATATATTGATGTAGAAACAGCTGAGATTAACATTACATCTTCTCATTTTCGCCAGCATGAAGACGATTCCGTGTGGTCTCCACAAGAAACTTTTTAAATTTATGAGGCAAGAGAAAGATAGGTAGAGAAGAGTCAAAACTTCTTCTGTTTTAGATAGGTATCATAAATTCTTTGCAACGCCTTCGTTTTCTCGCCATCTTCTCTTCTCCTCCACGAACTACAATCTCATTTTCAATCTGTGCATAAAATTGATAAAAAGCCCTTTATATAATTTAATGATCTACTCGATGAGACTATAGTTTTTTTTATGGAATATATTTGTCGCAAAAATATTTGAATAAACTGTACTTAAAAAAAAAGAACTCTTGCTGGAGTTATATTTTGTAAAATTACTTGATTAAAATCTTCACAAGAAAAATTGTTTAAAAACTGGTAGATGATAAATTTATGTTGTCAGATCAATAGTCTGGTAGGCCATATAGTCTAATGTGTCATTTTTTACTATTGCATAATTTATGGAAATTAGTTTGAGACTCGGATCTTCCTATCATAAGGAGCAAAGCAAAACACATAGATTTCTCATCTATTTTTTTAAGATTATAGTTCAGTTGAAACATATGTTTAAAATATAAAATATATGTTCAAATTTTATTTTGTACAAACGACGACCCTAATTTGATAACTTTTAAACATGGTCAACCCCAATTTGCAGTATTGAAAGTCATCTAACTATAGACTTAACATTTTTACAATATTTATTTCACAAAAGATGCAATTTGTATATTTCTTTCTCAATATAAGTGATTTGATAAATAAAATTATATGTTAAAATAATAGTTAGATAATACTATATATTTAAATTTC